TCGTGTGCATGCGTGTGTATGTTGCGTGCGTGCGACTGTGTGCGCCACTGTATGTGTGCGCCTGTGTTTGTGTGCGTGTGTGCGTCTGTATGCGTTTTTGTGTATAAGTGTATGCGCATGCGCGTGTTCGTATGCCTGTGTATGTGTGCGTGCATTTGATCACCGCCAGTAGTAAATTTGACTATAAACCACCTATTAAGCATAAAATTAAATAACCAAGCACTATCACAAGGGCACGCCGGTAATCCTCCACGAAAAAAAAAATGTAGAGAAAGTAATGACCTCAACTTTGACCTTTCGTAACATGATCGTTTTTCTAGTTCATCTCGCGAGCGCCTCGCGTCGGAACAGCAGCATCTTGTATCCGAGAGCGAACAGAGAAAATAAATAGAAATAGAAATATATACACCGATTCCCTTTGTGAGCATCATGTGAAAAACACATCACTTCCGCTTCCACGAACAGCTGATTGTTAGGCCTAGGCGAGTGAGCCCCGTTAGAAGGGACTGGAACAAAAGACACATAATAATATAAAGAAAAGAAAAGAAAGAAGAAAGAAGAAAGAAAATAGATCCTGGGGATATACACTAGACAATAGTCTAAAACCCTATAAATGAAGAAAGAAGAAGAGGAAAAGACACATCACCACAGTTCAGGCATTGTAGTCCATATGGCAGATTATTCAAGTAAGCATATATTGGAATTAGAAAAAAAAAAAAAAAAAAAAAGGCTGGACTGCATTCTTACGCAAAATGTGTAAAGATAAATATCGAACAATAGGAACAGGTTGATATTTAGATATAAGCGAATTATCCCAGTAAGAATTCTATCAAGCAATTCGATTCTTACGCTCTAAATTGACAGGAAGGCCAAGTGACCCACAAAACCACACACGCAACCAACGGGGTTCGCATCCTCACCGGTGCCGAGGTCCTCCCTGACGTAGAGGCAGCAGAGGGCACAGTGGGCGACGTCGAAGTAGGGAAACATCTTTAACTTGGTGACCTGGTTGGCCATCTCTAAGAAGGCTTCGGGATCCATGTCTGCGGGTGTTCTTCCTTGGCTGGGGGAATACTGCTCTTCCTCTTTCGTTGGTTTGTTATGATATATGTATTTTTTTATTTCTGGACACCCACGAGGAATACGGGAAAGAGAGAGAGGGGGAGAAAGGCGTGCGTCCTCCCTCGCGTCTGGGCTCCCTCTGGCCCTCGGCTGGCCCGGCGGCACGCAGACGACGCGGAGGGGATGCCGGCGACCTCATCAAAATGCGACTATTGCGTCGTGTCCTCGCCGTTTTAGATGTTCATTTTAATGCTTGAAAGAAATCTACTAAAATAATTAGTGTTTATTTCTATTCGTGATCATTGAGGACTTAACACAAGGAGAATAAAAAATGTTAGTGGCACTCAGACACCTCGGACGAGGTGCCGAGTAGAACATTTCAAATTTTTGTAATATATATTAATAACATTTTAATTTTATATTTCTAATCAAGAGTTTCTGTTAGATCTAGCATACCTTTATGCTTATCGGAAGCTTATCTATATGCATATAGTGAATAAAATTGCTGGGAAAAAATCGAAATAGCAACACGGCTTCATATCGAAGTGCCAATTGATAAAATACAAAATATATTCGAATCTACACACGCTATCTCTCACCTAAACCCCGTAACGCCCTTGGCACCTCATTAAAAACGTTATAGTTAGTTAACATTCACTGTCACCCTCAAGGCAAAATCACAAAAACAAAGATAAGTGAGTCTGTCTGTAATATGGCAGTAAGGACGCGCATGCTCCCCAGCAGACGACAAAAATAACCCTTGTCGCGTTTCCCTTTGAATTTCCCTTCGGACCTTTCATATGCCTTTTGAATTTCCACTTGAATTTCCATCTTCAAGTGCAATTAAGCAATATAAGATGAAAGAATGACAATTACTAGCAAGACATTATCATGTAATAGAATACTGTTATGAAAGTATTGATAACCTGGCGTATGATATAACATTACAAATAAACAGTTTGAAGGGAAGAGAGAGAGAGAGAGAGAGAGAGAGAGAGAGAGAGAGAGAGAGAGAGAGAGAGAGAGAGAGAGAGAGAGAGAGAGAGAGAGAGAGAGAGAGAGAGAGAGAGAGAGAGAGAGAGAGAGAGAGAGAGAGAGAGAGAGAGAGAGAGAGAGAGAGAGACAGACAGACAGACAGATAGAGAGAGAGATACAAACAGAAAGACAGAGAGAGACAGAAAGACAGAGAGAGACAGAAAGACAGAAAAACAGAGAGAGACAGAAAGACAGAAAAACAGAGAGAGACAGAAAGACAGAAAAACAGAGAGAGACAGAAAGACAGAAAAACAGAGAGAGACAGAAAGACAGAGAGAGACAGACAGATACACAGAGAGAGAGAGAGAGAGACTGAAACAGAGACAGAGGTATACAGAGAGAGAGAGAGAGACAAAGAGACAGAAACAGACAGACAGAGGCAGACAGAGAATCTATATATTATAACTAAAATATATGCATGGATGTTTGTTACTTTTCATTTTGATTGGTTGGTATAAAAAGAGAAAAAGGCAGTACCTAGTGAACTTTTCTTTATTAGTTTTACTGATTTAAGGACCGACCATGTTAGAAATTAAACTATATATTATGTCCACGCTCTCGATCTCTATTAATTCTACAACTGATTTGTGTGAGAGGAGGCGTGTTTTTCGTTATCTATTTCATAGCCCTTCATATTGCTATTATGTCTTGGCATAGTGCAAATATAATGATAGAAAATTATGTCTGTGTAGCCATTGGTATTTGATATTAGGAGTATAGGGTGTTTTTTCCATGATACTTTCCTTATTGTATAACTGAAAGAACACATTATATGTCTCATTCAGTGGTATACGACGCTTAAAATACAGTCCATCATTTTATATAAAGGAATATTAGTTAGTATAAGGAACCTTTTTTCGCGTTCATTCGCCAAATTGTGTAATCGAAAAAATCTGTATCCGTTCTAGTAAAAGCATAACCACTTATGTGTATGCATAGTCATAAATCTAAATTCTTCATTAGAATATTTTTAAAAATCAGCAAAGAACGAGATTGATTCCCCGCTTTACGAGTATAACGGAACATTCCCCAACTTAAAATAACAGCCCTTTCTTCTTGGGAAATCTGGAAAATCTGGATCCATTCTAGCCCCTCTAGCAGCCGGGCCAGTGAGGTCGCGAAGGGAGAAACGCGTCAATTTCTTCATTTTCCTTCCTTTTTCGCCGAATTTGAAGCTTAATTTACCTCGGAGAAGACTGCGTGAGTGAGAAAAGGTGAGAATCAAAGGGCGATATTAAAATCAGGAAGACTGGTACAAGAGGAAGGTACGATAAATAAAAGAGAGAGAGAGAGAGAGAAATTCAGATGATGTATTTTTGATCCCTCGATGTAGGCCTATTTTTGTTTTATGTTTATCTCTGGGAGTATGAATAGTCTTGATCAAAGCAAAATCTACATTGAAGGAGAGAGGAAAAAGAAAGAGAGTGTAAGGGGAGAGATAAAAACCCGAAATAACAAATGACGTATTTAGAGGCCCATGGGTTCTATATTACTACTAACATTACGCAAAATACTGTACTTATTTCATGTCTTTTATTTGAAATTTAAGCTCACGAGGGAAGTGTGTGTAATTTGAGTATGGAGAAATTAAGGCTATTGAAGAGAGGTTAAGGAACAGCTCTGTTATGCAACATGAGGAAAAATAAATAAATAAATAAATAAAGGAATAACATTTACACATTTTGGGTGAGACTAGATGCAATATATGATAAAACTGGGGTATAGTTTGGGGTAAGTTTCCGGAATACCTTCGCACAACCGATCACAAAGATTATGCCGTGGAAGCCCCCCCCCATTAGCGATGATATTGGCCCCGATAGTAGGGGGAGGGCATGGAAGGTACCAGGGAAACTGTGGGGTAAAATATGAATGATATACACAATCAGTCCCTATATTGTCTATACTCCTCATTCCCCATCCAGGAAAACCTAAAATCCTCAGCATGTTCATGGCAAGGTAAAGCGCACGACCAACAAAGGCCTACTTCTGAGTTTGTCTGACTCTCTCTCTTGCTAATAATATGTGGAGGATACTTGGTTTTCCTGGGCAGGGGTTAGGAGACGGCAGCCCTCTGCACTAGACAATAGAGTGACGGATTCTGTGTATATTATTTATATTTTACCCTGCGATTTCCCTAGTACCTTTCCTGCCCTTCCCTCCTATTGGGGCTAAGAATGTAGGGTTTTTGGTTGGGTTCTGTGGCAAAATTCCTACTAATATGCGCAATATAGAGTGAGAAGAATCCACCAATACCAAAATCAGTGCGAATGGTTATACGAAAAAGCTCATAGTTTGTTTCCCACAACCATGTAGCATAAGATAAAATATGCTTTTCATAGACAGAATTGCTAAAAGTAAGACTCTTTTCATCAGTGGTATTACCTATGCAAGTTGATAATAAGAAAGTTGTGCAACAGATAATAATTAGGTATGTGCAATAATCATAGGGAAAAACAAGACTCGCTAATACATGAAGTAATAATCTGCATAGGCAAAAAATAGCATCAGAAATGAAGAAAATAGGTCACTGCAAAGTCCAAGGTGATCTGGTGGGGGTCTGGCAGTGGAGCCCCTGTTTGGGAAGTATGGCAATCAGATGGGGGTCTGGGGGGGAAGCTAATGGGTTAGGAAGATTTGTAGATCATTCAGTGATCTTTGTGGATTTACCAGGAAAGGCTGGAGAAATATGAACTTCATCTGGTAAGGTCACTTCGTACACATTACCGATACTTTCATTTATATCATTTGCGATGGAAAATAATAAGTGATTCATGTACATTACAGCAATAATTGAAAAAGGGAATGATAATTACAAAATTGGATGGCTCTGTGAAACTAAAAAATTACCAAAACTGTTTATGTAGTAGGAGACTAATATGACTACAACATTACAATTTGTCCCTTTACTACTTGGGCTGTGACATTTCCTTTATGGTAAGCATTTGGAGGATTCCCACACTTGCACCAGTAGCCTTTTGTGGATGACCGTGACTTCCTTATTTATTGGAGGTCCCAAAATCAGACTTCCATCTTACTGGTAGATATTTTAGCGGTAATTCTTTACAGTATGGATGCACTCACCAGAGACAGAGTCCCCAGCTCCACTTCACAAAATCTATTCAACAAACAAAGTTGCAATGACTGGGCATGCCCAACTGCCTGAGGGGAGGGTTGATGGTTGATTAACTATTTTAGCAAGGTGGAGTTTGTAAATTTTCCCGATTTATTGGGAATACATTCATATAATGACTGCACTAAGGGTATTTCTTTTCAGTACGGATGCACTTGCCATAGACTAAGTCCCCAACTTAATGTCACAAAATTTATTCAGTTATTTAAGTTGCCGTGACTAGGTGTGTCCTTTGGGTACTGCCCGAGGGAGGGTTGATTTCTGTGCCCGAGAATCGTTGTCTTCACCTCGGTTAATGGTAAGATAGAGCTGAAACTTGGGATCCCAAGGGGACTTTAGAGATCTTTTTTTCTTTATTTGTGACATTAACATTCGTGTCTGCAGACTATTTCTTGTACTGACAACTGCAACTTTTAGTCTTTTATAAGAACATCAGTTTCAGTTTGCCCTACCTTAGTGTGTCCATACTGTAAAGTTTAACCACACTAAGATAAAAAAATCTAATGACACTGACAGAAAGAGGGGAAAATTAAACTCTTAGTTACATGAAATAATATGCACAGGCAAAGAATAATATCAGAAATTAAGAAAGCACTCCATGTCATGTGCTACATATAGAGTAAGTCCATGGCATTTGGTAGGGGTTTGGGGACAGAGCACCCGATTAGGAAATATTGCAGTCGGGTTGGGGCCTGGGGCAAAGCCCCTGGGCTAGAACGGTTTCTGGTTTATATGGCAACGTTTATGGATCCCCAGGAGAGTAATGGGGATTTAGTCTCAGAGGGGAGCAGTTACTTCATAAATAAATCCTGTTTATCATTGACCCTTTACCTCTGGATGGCATGTATGTTGTTCCACCATTATCTTAGTTCAGTCTGTTTATAGCCCTTCTATCATTCAGACTTTACCCTATAGTGACTGGATGTTTTATGTCGGACAGGAAATTGCACAAAGGCCTCACTATAACATTCATGTTTGTATTAAAGCCAGGACTCTAGCAGTGCATATATGCCAAGATATGTTTACTGTCATGTTTAGATCTTCTGATGTGCTTTCCAATCCAGATCTTAGTCTCAATTTTAATTAATAGTAACTGCTTATCCCACTTGAGGTTAATAAGGAAGGAGTCTAAGCTCTGTTTGTAAGAGTGTAAGTCATGGGGGTTTTGTTGGCCATTGTTATTATAACAACAAAATAATTTTATATAGACTTCCATTTACATTTGTACAAACTCATTTTAAGATTTTTATCCCACAGCACTGCAATAGGATACATAATATTGCTAATTATTGAAGACATGCAGCTCTTGAGTGGACAGTTTCGAAAATTGTCCAATGTGAATTTTGTCACACATAAAGTGCTCAAATACCATGGAGGCAGTTAGCAGCCCAACATGACCTTGCCTGATTTCCCCAATCCTTGAATTTTAAGTTTGCTACAGCTGTTATTATTGTTGTTGATATTTGCTAATGACATTAAAACCAGTACCAATGATTTATCATGATCCTATTGAAATACTACTAATAAGTTCGTGTCACCCTGTCCCACAGCCAGATTTTCCAAATTTTGGCCCCTCAAGCCAAAATTTTTCATGAAGTGATGGTCACATCATCCAGATCATAGTGGTTAATAGGATGTGGAAGGGACAATTCAAAGAAATTTTACCTTGTAATTTAAGAAAAATGCAGAGTTTCCTTCATCACCAAATCTCAGCAAGTCACATGTAGGCCCAATTTTTCAAGTGTCACTATGGTAAATTTTGTTCTCTTGATTTTTCAAAGAACTAACACCAGAATATGCACATTTATGAAATTGTAGAATATTAAAAGTAAAGAAATTGAATGCTTGAAAGTGTAACAATAGAAAGCTGTGCATGTCAATAAATCAAATGATTATAAAACAAAGGACACATAATTGTTTGGCTGGATGTCAGAGTAGCTATCACATTTAATAGTCCCAGTTTCATCATAGAAAAGACGGAAACAACTTAGCAGTTTTGGACAGCTTGGCTATGGCTACAGCTTGATAGATGACCTTTTTGAGGTTAAATTATCTTTGTATGATATACTGCAGTGCATTACTCTCAACTTCTCACTTCATTGCAGACTGCATATAAGCTTTGTAACAGTTAATTTTTTGTTGGTTTAGTATTATGTTTTATGCTACTCATCGCTTCATTTATCAGTCAACCTATCCCACAGAGCAGACAGGATGGGCAATACAGTCTCAGCAGCACACAGCACAGCCACAACACTCACCAGCTTGGCCCTCGGAGAAGGAAAGGGCATGCTCATTGAGGGCCACCCAGAAATCACCAAGGACATGGCACCTGCTGAGTGTCCCATGCACCAGGAGCTAGCTCAGGCCCCTGCCCCTCCCAAACAGTGTCCCGTCGATCATGCCAAGATGAGTGCCGAGGCTGCCCCCCCCAAACAGTGTCCTGTCGATCACACCAAGATGAGTGCCGAGGCTGCCCCTCCCAAACAGTGTCCCGTCGATCACACCAAGATGAGTGCTGAGGCTGCCCCACCCCAGAAGGCCCATCACATTCCCCCGGGTACCGTCATCCCCTCTGAGTGCCCAATGCATCAAAGTAACCAGGAACCGCAGGTATGGATAGGTTGGCTTGATAAGGGAGATGAATTGTAGGTTTGGGAATGCAATATGTTTTAGGAGAATGATAGGATAGAAGAAATTGAAATTGTTCATATTTGTCATGAAATATACTTCTTTTCTGCTGGTTTTATTATTTCTATATTATCATATTTCTTTATGATTTGTTCATTTATTTGGCCTCTTTCCTTTAATTTTTCCCTTTCATCTTTTCTTTTTGTTCAGTCCATTTGATTCTTTTGTTGTATGTATATACTAAATTAATTGTTACTTCTTTTTACTCTCTCTCTTGATAGGCATTCCCCAGTGAGTGTCCAATGAGTGCCAACCCAGATGGGGAGTGGCCTGTGCATCAGGCAGGCATGCACTTGGGCAAAGAGCATGCAGGCAAGTATGTAGACATCAACCCCCTCAACCTGGAGTCCTACCCGAACCAGAAGCCAGCTCCTGACCAGCCCTTCGAGTTGCCCACTGAGAGACAGGTAAGACACAAGGGGAAGGGGAAAAGGAGGTTGGCAGTTGTTGCAGAGGTATGGTGTATATATGACTGAGAGAGTGTGGGAGAGTAAGTGAATGTGCAAGTGTGTGAGCATGGGGATTTCAGAGAGAGAGAGAGAGAGAGAGAGAGAGAGAGAGAGAGAGAGAAATTGAGAATGAGAGTGTGCATGTGTGAATGTGGGAGAGTGTGTGTGAATGCTAATGATTGCATGTGTGAATGTAGGAGAGTGTAGATTTGTATATGTGTGTGTGTGTGTTTAAATTGCAAAAAGTGAAAAGTGAAAAAAGAAAAAAAAAAAATTACATTTGGCTTAACATTTGTACACTTCGATTAATAGCATCCCTTTTCCTGCACTTCCAGGTGTCAACAATCCCGAAAGCAGGTTCAGAGTCGGAGCACTGGGTTTACCCTTCCCCACAGATGTTCTGGAATGCCATGCTAAGGAAGGGCTGGAGATGGAAGGACGATGACCTCTCACAGAAAGACATGCAACACATCATCAGCATTCACAATGTCAACAATGAACTGGCTTGGCAGGAGGTAATGTTGAGAGATGACTGTGCTGATGGTTTGATATCATTGTAAACATGCGCGTGTACACACACACACACACACACAAAAAAAAAAAAAGATGCTTTTATCCATATTGTGAAAATAATGATATTAAAATTAGGTATTGTTTTGTAATACATTTGACAATTTACTATATACGCCCTCCAATTCTACAGTTTTTGTGCAGCCTTAAATCAAGAATCTTAATGACCATTCTCACAACCCAATCTTGATTTTGTTGTGGATGTATTATCATGTGCCTTCCTTTTTCAAGGATTATCCATTGTAGGAAGGTGTCTAAAATCTCTGAAATGCACCAAGATGGGAAATTTAAAGAGGCTAATAGAGTGGTAGTGTGTATATTCTTTATCCCCACAATGACAGTATCAGAAATCTCTCAGCATCACTGACTGGGGACCTCTGGCTACCATCCTGCCATTTAGCCCGGTTGTCCGCTACATGTAGAGGCACTTCCCACTCAACTCTAGCTCATCACGACACCTATAGCCGACAGTTTGATGAGTCGGCTTGTTATGATGGCTATAGGCGTGGCTCAACAGATACAGGATAAAAGCACCCTGAAGATATGAAAGCACCCTGATAATGTTTCAGGTTGTGAGAGCCAAGCCTTTTATGACTGTGAAACAAAACACAATTGAGGATCAGGAACTGCTGCAAGACATCTCTTCAGATTTCCTGTTTTGATGCATTTCATCCAGTGTGCAGGGTGTTTTGGGATGTTTGTAGACCCCCTATTTCTGCTAGAGACACATACTTCATGTACAATCAGTTTGCAGTGGACAGGTGTTCCTTGCCATGATGCAGGTATACCCACTTGTATAAATACAAAAGAAATCTGTCAAAATGAAGTTGGGTATTAGGAATTGGCAATATCTTCACATGAAGGCTGCAAGGCACCTAGATATACAAAGTGTCTTCACAGAGATATCAATAATATTAGTGGCTGATAATTGGACAAAAATTCATTCCAGAAGCATCATATCATGTGCCACCACTATATATATATATATATATATATATATATATATATATATATATATATATATATATATATATATATATAATGATTCTTTTCTAATTCTCTTTTGACTATCCTTGTACTTTTTTCTGTTTCTTCTCAATCTCCTCCCTCATTTCTTTACTCCTATGTCTTTCCTCTTAGTTCTTATCTTTACTTTTCTTCTTAACCCAATGGTGACGGGGGGAGAAAAAAAAACAAAAAAACTCTATGCTCTGGCGAACCATGTCAGCGGGCTGACTTTGAGTGCGGGAATTTGGTACATCAAGCCGAATCACCGCCGCACGCCACTTTTCAAGCAATTTGTTTTCATGCCTAGCGGCGTCACCCATTGTGAAGGGGTTAACTAGATCCTCCACCTTATCATGTTCCTCCTCCTCTGTGTTCTTTTCCACTTTATTGTCCTTCTCTTTTCTACCTGAACTTTCTCCTTGTTGAAGGCCTCTTCCATGTTTCTTGCCTGTCTGCTGCTCCTATTCTCTTTTCTGTTTGTCTCTTCTTTCTCCTTTTCGTCTACCTCCCCTTCCTACTCTTTCTCCTCTTCATATCTTCTTTCTCCTCTCTGTCATCACCCTCCTTGTATGGCTCTTCCTCTCTCTCCTTGAGTATGTGATCCTCTTCCTCCTGGTCTGTATCCTCCTCCTTTGTCTGTCTCATCATCTAAGGCTACCTCCTCCTCCTTGGCCATCTTTTCCTCCTATTTGTCTATCTCCTCCCCCCTCCCCCTCCCCCTGCTCTACCTCCTCCACAAAGATCATTGCTCATGCTCTTTTGTGTTGCAGGTCCTAAAGTGGGAATCCCTCCACAAAAATGAGTGTGGGAACCCCAAGCTGAAGCGTTTTGGTGGCAAGGCATCGGACTACTCTCCCCGGGCTCGCATGAGGAGTTGGATGGGGTAAGCACAATTATTTGGAAATGTTTCAGACCTCTTCTTTCTTCTCCTTCTTAATGACAAGGCTTATAGCTGTATGTGGGTGTGAAAGAACATGTTGTTTTGCTGGAAATTTCACTGATGCTCTATGAAGTCTAATCATGTGAGCCCAAGTCCAGCACCGGGGATCATTAGCATTATTTCCAAAGAAAAAAATGTAAGGATGATAAGGTTGTTAATGATAATTGTTATGTTAACCCAGTGGATCCAGATAACATGACTGTCATGTCATGAAAAAATTAAACTGAGGGCCAGGGTGACAGGAATATGCCATTATGAAAAATTTATCTGAAAACCAGGGTGATGGGAATGACTTGTCATGTGTACGCAAAGCTCTTGGAGGAAGTTTAGTAAGCATTTAGAAAGGGCTCTTGCATTGCTTCCACTAGCAAAGGAGGGTGAAAAATACCATCTGTGAACTATGGCTGGAAGATTGCTAGCTCCAGGAAAGACATTACTTCCATGCTCCAGATCCTATTCCTGCCCACCATGACTAGTAGGGCAGGGGTGCTACAGAAAATCAAATTAGAAAATATTTATGTTACTGTTATTGCACAGAGTATAGACTTCCTAGTGGAAAGATATGGAGTCTGCAAGAAAGTCTTTTACCTTCTTGAAACAGCATATCAAATGACAGATAGAGACCTTGGAAAATGCGAAAAAACAAAAGATATTTATGCAGAAAAAGAGATCATAACATTGCAAAGGGGAGGCAAGGATTTGTGACACTGCACATGAGTGTTTGTGTCTGTCTGGCCTACAAGCCACACACCCAGGAGAGTCTCCACAGAAGTAAGTCTGATGCCCTGACTTTGGGCTATGTTAACAGACAGGATATTAATAGTCTCAATAATAGTAATAGAATTGTTGACAGTGATGATTGCTAGAAATTATATTTAGCTAGGATAGGATTAGGATATAACATTCCCCATATCTGGTGGAAAGGTAAGTTTGATATGGAAGGGACAGGTAATGAGAAACAAAAGGTAGCGAGAAAAGAGGAAATGGAGTTCAGCTCTTAGTGAAAGTAGCCTAAGTGGTAGAAATATAAGGAGAAATAGGAGCTGAGCAGATATGATAAAATTGGAAGTGTATAGAGAAGGGTAGTATGAGAGACAGGTAAGGGGAAGGAGGAGAGAGATCTTTGCCTTGGGGCATATACATATTTATGATTATAACACACATGCCACAACCAATCCAACCTTTACTACCAGTATTACTGAGATCACTTGATCTAAAAAAAAACTGCCCTGATATGAATTGAAAATGAACATCACATTTTGAACTCCTTAACCCATTGCTGCCGGGGAAAATGAACAAAAAATGGGGAAAATGCTGTGCCTATTTTCTATATTTTTTTGGCTGTGTTAGTGCCTGACTTGAGATGGCGGGAAAAACATATTTTTCACTAGTGCCATGAATATCAATGGTGTTATTTTGATTATAAACATTATCATTATTATACAGTAAGTCCCCAACTTAACCCCTTCCCCGGCAGAAAAGTGTATACACGTTTTCACAAAATGTTCTTTTTTCAGTCGTCGATGAGTATACTCGTCTGAAACTTTACCTTCAAAAACCAGCTAGATACGTATATACTCGTCGATTTTAAGCCTTTGTAAGCCATTCTAAGTGTGAAACGAGTATTCTCGTCAAATCGTACGCCTGACAGAGGCGATAGGGTAGAGCTGTGGCATTTCAAGGACATTGTTACTAGACTTGCTCCGGCAGCCATTGTCGTTGGATGGGTGTTGTTTGCATCCACATTTGCATTTTTTTTTTTTTTTTTTTTTTTTTTTTTTTTTTTTTTTTTTTTTTTTTTTTTTTTGTAGCATTTTCAAGTGTTACACCCCAAATGTCTAGTTCAACGGAAGATAGTGAATATGAACCTTCCCTCAGAAGCTTGAATACTTCTGATAACTCTGCCAGTTCATCAGACAATGACTGTTTCTCGACAAGTGAGGAGGAGGAGGAGGAGGGGGGGGGTGAGGGGAGAGCTTGGAGAAGCCTTGAGTAATAATAAAATGCCAGAAAAAGGCATTTAATTTATTATGCATATTATAATTACTGCTAGATATTTGGTAACAATTGTAATAAAAAAAAAAAAAAAAATAGGTTTTCATTTCTCTTTACATTTGGTAATAAAATTTTGAGAAAAATATGGTAAAAAAATATGGTTTATAGGAAGACGAGTTGACTCGTTTTTGCCGACAAAGGTATTTTCAAAATAAAAAGTTAACCACAGAAATGGGAAGAAAAAATTATTACAAACTGTTTTCATAGCCAGCATCAAAAATACTATATAGAACCAAAATAAAAAAATTAGTCTGAAAAAGAAACATTTTTAACAAAAAAAATATTGGGGAAGGGGTTAAGAACATAATGGGGACCGAGAGGCTGTTTGTAAGTTGATTTGTTTGTATGTCAAAAGTCAGGTCTCCATTACCTTTTTTCCCATTGTTTTAAAATTTTCTTTACATTAAAAATACCTGTAAATAAATCCCAATAAGTACGACATACCTTATACAGTACCAGACTCTTGAACTATATTTGCGCCCAGGAAATATGAAGTTTGCTAGCATCTTTCAAACAATTTTTTGGACTTTAGTACTTTAAAAAATTTGTTTGTATGTATGGAATGTTCATAAGTAGAATGTTCTTAAGTAGGGGAATATCTGTAATGTTTTTTAACATTAGTAACAGCCGCCTCCTCCTCCTCCTCCTCCTCCGGAATAAGGCAGTAACATGAGATGCTGAAAGATTGTATTGTATTTGTTTTCATCAGTTTGAAGTAGGCAATAGTATCTTGTTTCACACAGGAGAATTCCTTATCTGTAGCAAATAATGGTAACCTTATTTTGAATTTGACATAGAGCTGAAAAGGTTTTGTATGATTCTGGATGGACCTTGTGGTGAATGACAACATTTAACCAAATCCCTTATTTTTGTAGAATTGTAAGTTCTCCATGGTTAATTTTTACAGATAACTTTTATTGCTCAATTTACTTTCAGATATGAGCTGCCTTTTGACCGCCATGATTGGATTGTCGACCGCTGTGGCAAGGAAGTACGCTACATCATTGACTACTATGATGGAGGCGACGTGGACCCCAGTGACTATAAGTTTGCGATCCTAGACGTCCGGCCTGCAATGGACTCGTGGGAGAACATCTGGGACAGGATGGTGGTTGCCTGGTGGCGCTGGACAAGAAGTTAGACTGAGGTTGTGAGAAAGAGAGAGAAAAGTCATGTTTTTCCAATAGTTTTTTTAGTCTCTCTCGCTTTCTCTCTCACTTAATAGCTAGATTTATTTATATCAGAAAGCAAATGGAGTGAAATGTTCATAGGAAAGAGAACCTGTCTAAGGGAGGTCTTTTTTTTCTTCTCAATTGAGGTTCAGTTTTTTTTTGTTTTGTTTTTATAATAGTGGGAATGATTATGAAATTAATAAGGATTTTGACTTTCATAGTACTGGGTATATTCGTGCTTACTAAGTAAACTTTATTTCTATATCTTTACCTTAGTTAAGATTATCCAGAAACAGTATTTCAAGTACAAAATTTAAGTTTAGTACTTCATATGAAAATTACATAGTCTAGAAGTTTTGATGATTAAGTACATTCACTAATCTCTGAGTGAAGGATCTGGTATGTAAGTTGGAATGAATTTAGTTGGGTTTTATGCTTATAGCAGTTTTGAAATTGCTTAATCTTGTCCCAGATGTCAAATAGGAATCTGTTAGAAGAAAAGTATGTACCTTCAGGCTTTTTTTCTGAATTTTTCTCAGTTGGACTTGGTATTTGTGCATAATGTACTTGATTACAGTCATACAAATTGAAAGCCAAATAAAGAGTTGTAGTTGAATTCTTGTTAATAGATATGTGTATATACTGTGTACAGATTTAACAGTTAAGTAAAGTTTTAAATTTCTTTTGTGTATGATTTCCCTTTATTGCCCATTATTTTCAATACCTAGTAATTTTTTTTATGAAAATTTGAATAGTAAGGATGTGAAGGATATGTAACCTGAAGTTTTATTAGTTCTTAAGTTACATTATGTGTGAAATCATTTCTATATATTTTTCACTTTCCAGAGGTAGAGCTAATATAGTAATGTGTTCTCTTGTTCATTTACAGTTTACAAACTCATCCAACACAGTGTTCTCAAAAAGGAACAAAATCTAGTGTAGTTTACATGGAACTCAAAGCATCCATTCTTTTATTTGGATATTTTTCCAGTCGTCCTTAACTCAATTTCTTGGAAATGTGAAATCAGGCACTAAAATCGTTCCTTTAATTTTTAAAGTAAATATGACCTTTGATGTCTAGCACATTTATTTGTTTTAATAATTAACTATTAATCATTAAGAAAGTAAGCATTATATAAAGTCATAAAGGACATTTTTTATATAAATCTTTCAAATCCAAATAAGCACAACAAATTTCCTATGATAGGTAAGTAAAATTTTAAAAATCTGAAGAATCTTAAAAAAAAGTTTCCAGGGCCAAAAGTAACTAATATTAATGAATTTTGCTTTATTGACTACATCCCTAAAGGATTCCTAGTACATTTCCTGTAAAATGATTGGCCATGCCTGATGGCAGTAGTGCTGCCATCTGTCGTTGGACTACTTTGATAGACAAACAGCAGAAAGATCATGCCTGTAGTCAAGTAAAATCAGGTAATGGCTGTACTGCACTTGGCTAACTACTGTCATTACTGGTTATTGCCATTTGTGTGTCCAGTGGCATGCTCAGCTGTATAAACAACAGTCAAGGGCATGCCTGACAGAATTTGCTAGTTAAGCCCACTGCTGATGACATATATTTGGTCACATAGATGTATTTTTAATGGTGTCTGATGACCATAAGCTTGATTTTGTACCAGAAGAATATGTTACTATGAGGATTCATATTTATGTAGAAATGGTACATAAAAATGATTATTTTTGGCAGTAAATGCTAGAAAGCAAGGTAGTAAAGTAACAGGATTACATAAGTAAATTTGTCAAAGGTTATTTCTGACTAAATTTTAATGTTCTTATATGATAGATACTTGCACTGTGTTGCTGTTAGTAGCATGTGATATCAATGATTTTTTGTCTTGATCCATTTTTGATACAGGAGGTTCTAATTTACAGTAATAGTCAGTTCATCTGAATGATGTGAGGTATATCCCTGTGCCAATAATGATTGTTTTCATTCTAATTTGTAAAAAAGTAGCACATTGTTTCCAGATAAATCTTGATCACCACTTTGAATTCTGCCAATGCTTCAACTAATTGTTTGGCTTAGTTGCTTGATAACAGGTAACTTCCAGCAGATTGTAATAGATGTAGCTGAGATATTACTGATGTGTGTCAACTGACCAAAATGCCAAAATTTGCAAGTGTCCTAATTATTACTTTCTTTAATAGATGTAGTGGGAGATCATCTCTCAGAAATGTACAACCTTGGTAGGAAACTGACCAAAGAGTATACATGACTTCAGAATATTTAATGGGTCAGTCTTGTGGCACTGAAAAGAATTACAGTAGTTTACTGCTGCTCAGCTATCATGTATAATATTGCTGTTGGGAACAATCTTTTATCTGGGTGTAAATCTTTCTAAATCAGAAGCAGTGTCGAAAGATAAGATATAGGAAAGGAAAGGCAAGAGAGAAGGGAAGAGTAAGGTTTAGGATCAGGGTTAGTAGAAGGAACATCAGCGAAAGATGGAGGGGGAATATGGAGAGAAGAAACAATAAAGGCAGCAGATATAATGGCAGATAGATGAAGGCATAAGGGAGACTGAGTAGGAAAAGAGTTATCATGGGGTTTGCACCATGGCTTACCAGTCCAGCTTGTAAGTGAAAAGAATTCGGTCACAAATTAATCCAAGTTCTGGAGGAATGGATGGGGTGAATAGCGTCACAGAGTATATTTTTGTGCTTCTTGTTATCTCGCTATTTTGTGTCTGATGCAAGTATTCAGGTAAATATTTCTATCAATCAACCCCTTTCCAATTTGCATATGAATAATCATATTCATAATATTCCTTGTTCTCATCTGTGTCATTTGCAAAGTGCAGATCTGGCATTTGATCGAAACAACTGCTGTCAGAGGACAAAGGGAAGTGTACAGCTTTTACTCCTAATGATAGGATAATATGATGATAAAGGCCAAGTGAATCACCCTTATATCTGGGGAGGGGAGGGTATTTGAGCAAGTAAAATTTCAAGTAATCTACTGCCAGACTTTTCTCATTCATTCTTTAATTCCATCTTCTTTAAGGCTAGAGCATTCATCAGAAACTATTGAATGGTATATACTTAGTTTTTTTATGATTATTGAATGTATACATCCGAAATTTGACTTAGACACAGGAAAACATATATACAATATATTAGTTAATACTAGGCTTGTTATATAATGGTAATTTTCCTGTAGCACACAAATTTGAAGCTATTAAAACACGCGCACGCACACACACACGCATGCACACACGCACACACACTCTCTCCCTCACACACTCTCTCTCACTCTCTCTCTCTCTCTCTCTCTCTCTCTCACTCTCTCTCTCTCTCTCTCTGTCTCTCACTCTATCTCTCTCTCTCTCTCTCTCTCTCTCTCTCTCTCTCTCTCTCTCTCTCTCTCTCTCTCCCTCTCTCTCTGGCTTTTTCTTAATCAGATTAATGGCATATAATTAGGAAAATGGTCTTGCTGGTTATCTTTATGGATAGGCTTGCATATTTCATACAAAATTTCATTATCTCATCATGCCATATTGTCCCTGGCCTGAGCCTTGAACTTTTTGTACTATCTTTTTCTGTCTCGTTATCTTCTTATCCCTCTCTACCTTCACTTTCCCAATCATCTATCTCTCTTTCTCTCTTTCACTTTCTCCTAAGGATATGTTTGGTTAGTTTTTATGGGTATGCCTTTTTTTCATACAGAAACACAAGAAATCTTAACTTCCATTTATAATCTATCTTTTTCGTTGGAATCTGTTCTTGGGTAATGGTTTCAAAATATTTCGGCCTTTTCTTCTCTATTATTTGTCTTTTACCTCTTGTTCACTTATCGAAATTAATGTGAATTGAATATTATAAAGTGATATTAGATCAAGAAAAGTCTCTCCTTTCCTCATCTTCTCCATTGTTAGAATTTTAAATCTCTGTTTGCTTTATTAGCAGCTTATTATTTGCCAGATCTGCATTTCGTAACCTTTTAATTGCACTTAATTATCATTTATTTATTTTCTTTCTTTCTTTATTTATTTATTTACTGTCCTTATCATTCATAAAACCATAAGTGTGGCCTCGAATATGAAAGGAATATCAATCAAACCTCAGTTAAGGCAGGTGTTTAATTCATTAGGCCATCTCGAATATTTATTAATATGCTCTTTGGGATTAATAACGTGTAACATGAGTCAGTTTTATTGTTTTTGTTTTTTGATGCAATGATCTTTAGAATATGAATTTTTTGATGCCAACAAGATAAGTTTGATAGATAAAGAATAAGCAATATGATATATATAAATATATATATATATATATATATATATAGAGAGAGAGAGAGAGAGAGAGAGAGAGAGAGAGAGAGAGAGAGAGAGAGAGAGAGAGAGAGAGAGAGAGAGAGACAGAGACAGAGAGCATAACTGTTTGTCTGTGTTTGTTTACTTTCAGAATAGGAAGGTATAAAGGCAAGATTAGGACGGAAAGGATGGGTGATAAAAACCGAGAGAAAGATAAGAAAAAAAAGAATACAATAAAGCTAAAAACAATATTGACAGTAACACTAATAATCGTAATAACAGAGGTGAGGTAACAGGAATCGACATAAATATATTTGTGACACTAGTATTAACAATGATATCAGTTGTGAAAAGCATAACCTTAGTGTTTGAAATACCTATCATTATTCTTGGACTGACAGGTGTATAATGAATAGTATTGATTATAAATTTCCTCCTGGCTATAATTATGTGTTCAGTTTTTAACTAGTATCAAAATATTTCTCTTAATATCTCTCTACCTATGTATCAATGCACTTATCTCTCCTTGGTATTTTCTTCACCACCTAGCCAATACACATGACATCATATCACAAAATATTTCATTATATCATGTTATAGATTGACTTGCATTTTTCATACAGATACATATTTAAGATATTTCAACTTCTGTTTATACTTCATTATTTTAGTCTGGGTCCACCCTTTCCTATCACTATCTCAAATGAAAATACAATCATAATTAATGGAAAATAGATTCTTATAGTTTATGTAATCATATGAGATAGTACCAGATACTTCGAATTATGGTAAAGTCACACTCTCACTCTCTCTCACTCTCTCTCTCTCTCTCTCTCTCTCTCTCTCTCTCTCTCTCTCTCTCTCTCTCTCTCTCTCTCTCTCTCTCTCTCTCTCTCTCTCTCTCTCTCTCTCTCTCTCTTTGTTATTTACAGTAAAAAAATATATATTATAAATCTCAGCTGTAAATATAACTGCTTTTCCCAAATGGCTCCTCATCTGTCGGGATCTACACATCATAAATCTTAAATTCTGTTTGGTTTAAATACTATGACGAATTTAATCTTCATCATTTATGTCAGAACTGTTAATAAAAGCATCGAAAGTAAAACCAAAATGACCGGGAAATCCCAGTACCCCCGCCGCGAGAGCAGGTGTTTAACTCATTAGGCCATCTTGACTGTTTAGTGCTTTGCATTCATAATCATTAAGCAGCAGTTTTTTCAGATTACTTCTGGTTTGTTTATGTTTGGATTGCGATGTAATTTTCATTAGAATATGTTTAGCCTGTATTTTTTTGTATGTGTGTGACAGAGAGAGAGCACGATTGCCTGTCTTCGTGCGTCTGAAGCCACAGACCAATTTACTTTTAATAAGAAAGGTTTAAAGGTGAGAGAAGGATGGAAACGGAGATGATAGGTGGAGAGAGAGATCAATAAGAAATGGGAACTTGCTATAATTGAAAATAATGGTGACAATACCGCGAACAGTGGGAATAACAGTGTGATCAGAAGTGCCGGATATGAATATAATAATAATAGTCAAAGACTTTATCTGTCATAGTCAAATCCCCAAGTATGATTTTTCGTAAATACCGTCCCTGGAGTGCGTCGCAGGAATCTG